CCACATCATTTTCAACTGGATATTCCCCCTTACAGCATTAAGTATGGGGCTCTAAACTGGACCTAGTTCTTCAGTAAGACCAACTCGGTAAGAGTTATTTCTTTACTGATCTTAATTTCGGCACCCCCCATAAATATCAAGAGTGAATTAAGGTTTGCTTCTTTGCAGTAACACCACTGCCTATTCCTTTAGTTCATGATCAATTGACACGAACATACTTGTTGCTGTATTAACACCAGCTGATTACTTTTAAAAATACGTTTATTTGCTTCTTCCTTCTTATGGGGTGCACATCTAGCTTATTTTATTTCATCTTGTTGACTCTGGAGTGCTCCTTATAAGCTGAAAATATCTTGAACTCATTTTGCCTTTCCAGTCTCAAGTTGGTGGCATCCAGACATTATGTCTAAGCATTAACTGCTCTGGCACCAGAAAGATTCCCTTATGGGTTCACTACACTCAAACATCCTCCTAGTCCGACCAGGATCACCAGCTGTGCATTCCCTGAACTTCAAGAACATCATAAATCTGTGATTTGCTTAAACTGTGATTATTCAGAACTACCAAGAACTTGACTGAATTCATTTTACCTACTCTACCGCCCTGTACCTATTTACCTTGTCTATTAGGGATGTCAGATTGGTTGGACAGTTGATTGATTTTACCGTTTAACTGTTTTTTATTTATTTTTACTAAAAGCCCTACCTGAGTGATCTATTAGTTTAACAAAAACAAAACAACCAAACAGCAACAGACATCACAAAACCCCACAAAACAAACATGTCTCCCCCTAGTAGTAAACTAGCTTACTGCTGCTCACCCTTCACCACAGTCTTTTGTGAAAATCTGCACTTCAAAGCAACCTGGGGAACACTAGACAATTCACAACCTGTGGTCCTGCTCTCATTGCTTGAGTTCTCAGAGAACCCAGGGCAGGCTAAAATTAACATAGTGCTTAAGTCTATCTCAAGAGAGAACTCTATATGGTTACAAAAACATATATATTTAAAATGCTTTTGCTTCCCTTGTGCCCTAGCAGGTGTATGGAAAATGGCAGTAAAAAGAGTGGTCAAACACAGAATCAGTTTCTCCCACTCTTGCATACAAGACTGACTAATGGTATAATCACAGGTACTTTGTTTTTGCATTTCAAAAACTTGAGAGATAATTTTTGTATTTGCAACTCTTATGATGTCTTACTTGCAAGTTTCTCCCTTAAAAGGTACTAAACACTTGTTTTGAGAAGTGAAGCATTGGTTTAGTCACACAAGGAGGAACTTCAAACTGAAACTGAGTATTGCTCAACTCAAATAAATCTCAGGACTTGACAACAGCAATTTACTGTTGCTAAACACAGGCCTTTTAACTTGTACCGAAAATCCATCCTCATCTTTAGAGGATCATTGTGAGTTTATTTTTCCCCACAGTTAGGGAACATGGGATCTACTTACCCTATAAGGACACAGCCTTGACATTTATCACTGCACAACCTTTTAAATTCAGTAAAAGCAGGTCACATACCTTCACAGCTGCATACGTGAACTATCTTTTAGACAAGCAGTCTTTTTAGCCACATCAACCTGTGTGTTAAGCGATGGTAACCAAACATATGTCTGTCTTCAATGCACATCACGGCACCTATCCAGCTTTTCTCTGGGACAGTTCAATTGCAATGAGAACCAGTCTGTGATCAAGCTTAAGGCTTTCATGAACTTATTCCTGTTACTGTGAAGTACAACCACACGAGCTTATCACATACTGAATACACAAGATTCCTAGACACATCGCTTGCTAATGAAACTGCTGAAAGTACAGTTAAATCTCCTCCCCTAATGTATTCTTCACCTTTGTTTGTTTTACAACATTTGGTTTAAACTCGCAATTATTTTGTGCTGTAATACTGAAAATCAGATTCTAAAAATGTGGGAAAGCCATTACAAGGAAAACAAGGCATATTCAGCAAATCCTCTTTGTCCTTGATGTAATGAACTCCTGCTCATGATAGGAACTAAGTAGCTTTCACAACAGTTTACATCCAAGTGGCTTGTTTTAGACTGGAAGACTAGATTAAAACTTTGGCATCTCACCCAAAGGCAGTCGGTCACTCTCACCCGAGTTTGACATAAGCAGCTGCAGATGCTGCCCTCCTGCACCTTTCAGAAAGCCAAGCTGCTACTTGGGAAGGAAGGGGAGATGGGAAAGCCAGCTATTGACAGAGGGTAGCACCTGCTGTGAAGAGAGCATGTGCCCTTCAGCAACCACAATGAGTTGGGAAAAGCAGCTGCAACATTAGTTATCAGGGTTAAGCTGTGAGCAAGTGCAAGTGCATTTAGCTGCTTGGGCAGCATTTATTCTTCAAACACCCTTCCTCACCTAAAGTGAGCCTAAGGAAACTGCCTGGAAAGCAAGATCTATTAGGGTCCAGTTAAGGCCACAATGAAAAGCTTCAAAATCTCCTGCATATAATAAACCTTTATACATAGTTGCTGTCATTCCCTCCTCTACCCCACTCCATTGAATAAATCTGCAAAGTTGTAGATGGGTTAAAAGTTAAATTCCATCTCTAGTGTGACAGCATTCACATAAGAGATCTTAAATCAACTCTGGTAACTGAAGAGTTACACTGACAGGAGCAATGAACAAATAATAGCTTGTTAAGCATAGACTGTAAGTGAAGAGAGGTCAGGGAGAAGCTGAAAATGCTTGCAGGAGTTAAGGTTGCTTGGTATTTTTCCAGTTAAAAGCTAATGAAAACTAAGGCCTGCCAAAATTCAATTAGTTCACATCATTTTTTTATGTCACATTCAGCTTAATCTTTACCCCTAATCTACATGTAAAACTTTTGCCATTTAACCAGATAAAACCCAGAAAATCTGAACACTGCTTAAATCAAAATCAGAGACTAGTTTGGGTTTCGGGTGTTTGTTTTTTGCTTATTTGTTTTATGGGCTTTTTATTTGCTTTTTGTTTGGTTGGGGTTGGGTGTTCAGTTTTGGGTTTTTTTGGGGGGAGGGTGGTTTGGGTTTTTGTTTGTTTTTTTTTTTTTACGAGGACTTTTAGAAAAAGGACAAGGGGGAACGGCTTTAAGCTGAACAAGGGTACATTTAGATTAGATATTACAAAAAAGTTCTTTACTGTGAGGGTGGTGAGACAGTGGAACAGGTTGCCCAGAGAAGCTGTGGCTGCCCCATCCCTGGCAGTGTTCAAGGCCAGGTTGGATGGGGCTTTGAGCAACCTGGTCTAGTGGAAGGTGTCCCTGTCCACAGCAGTGGGGTTGGACTAGATGATCTTTAATGTCCCTTCCAACCCAAACCATTCTATCATTCCATAACTGATCATTTTGAATTTGTATTTTCATATCCTCTGCCAAGGAACCACTGTTTGGAGGTACTATGCTACAGAAACACATCAAAAAACTGCAGCTTGTTTTTCTCCTTTTGAATACTTGGACTGTTTAATTTGCCCAGCTTTAAGCTGCTCCTTGCATACTTCAAGAAATCATTGCACAAGCTGAGAAAAAGTCCTCTGTAATTAATGCATTTGACTACTACAGGCAAAACAGAGTGTAACAGCAAAAAGAGTCAAAACAGACCAGGAGGGGTTATGCTACATTGCTCAAGTGCTTCCTACTATTGATAGCATCTGAACAGTATGGGAAGCAGGAAGGAGGGGAGGTGGGAGGGAGGCAGAAATAGTCATTCAATTTGAAGAAAAGAGGACAAGAGTAACTAATACCAGGACAGGCTGACAGAAGAAGAATTTAACCTTTAGAGTAGAAGCCCAAGAATTGCCTGGGAGGCCATCCAAAATTCTAAGTTCCAGAAGTCATCATGCCTGTGAAGAAAAAAGGCACCTATACCTTCCTAATGGTCAAAGCTACCTTCATATATTACTTTATGTAACTTCATTACAGTGTTCCCCATCATTTGCTTTACTTTTTTCAAAAGGTTCATAATGATTTTCTTCTCTTAAACTTTTGCACACAGCTGAGTTGCAAAAGAAGAAAATGTGGAAAGAAAAAGAACTTATGTCTTCAATTGGTCTAATTCTAGCTGCCTTACTCATCATTCCATTATTTCAGAAAGATGGGTAACCTAGGTAAGATTACTCTGCCACTCTCTCTTTCCACAGTTAGTAGTTCTGTCCTACAAAGACACCCTCCTGTAAGAGTTGATTGTTTTGACCATACTTTAATTCAATTCCCATCTTCAGACTGCCAAGGAAGTTAATTTCCAACAAGACTGGTAGTGTTCTTCCTTCATTGAGCTGACAGGAAGGAACTGGATTTAGGCCCACACTCCCAAAGTTATTTAAATACCTCCAATCCTCCTAGTGAAAAGGACCTAAAATGTACTTGAGAATTTAGTCCCCAAGTTCAAACAGGAATTCATGAAACTGAAAATACGTGGCTTGCACTGCCAGTTAAAATCCAAATTTTTTAATTGTGGACTACTGATAGCTCACCTTAAGATGATGTTTGACAAAAAAATTGTTTGTTTTAGCTCCGTTCTACTGTGCCAGAAATGTGAAGTGTGTCTTCTTAAAAGTATGGAAAACCATTAGACCAAGCTCAGCTGTTGATCACTACTTCTCACAACTTTCTGACTGAGTTGCAATATATTCAGAAGATCCCAAGAGCTATTTCTTTCCATATGGAGAGTCAAATTTCATATTACACACTATTCTCTGAAATTTCCTACAAGACTCAAAGCAGTACTCAAACACACATCCCAGTTTCTAGAAGTCGGGACACTTACAACAGAGAGTTGCTGAGGTTGTGTGGAATATCTCCACCTGTCAGAATAATTTTGTTGCTTGCTCACAGTGCCTCTGTACTTGGCTACCGTTTATTCTCCTCCTGTGTGTTTTATAATCTGCTCAAATACAAATTTGCACTACTTGTAACAGAAGGAATTGTTTAACTATATAATTCATGAATTCAACCTTAACATAGAGCAAATAGGCAACATGTCAATGCTGTGAAGTGAGGCATTTCTTACCATACAGTTCATGGCAAAGTGATTGTGCTGTGTCTGAAGCTCCATTGCATGGGGATGACTGGTTCCGATCTCTGTGTAGCTGTTCAGGAACAGACCTTTGTTGTGTGTAATCCAGTCAAACATCTACAAGAAAATGTTAAGGAGGGGTGGGGAAGAGGAGGAATAAATCACTAATTTGTTATGGTAGAAATCACAGACAATGTGAGAAATCTGTGAACATGTAAGAAAGAAAGAGCGTAAGGCCATGAAAACAAACACAGTGTTCTTTCAACTGTAAGTTACAATACATTTTAATGACATCATTGCTGAAATCCGACTTTTTTGACCAAACATCTGAGGCTGTTAAGTCTTTACTATAGGTGTTTATCTCAACAAGCTACACTAAATTCATAATCATAAAGGCATAAACTTCATTACTACTAAGAAGTCAGAGTAAACAAACAGGCTTGGAGCACAGCCCTGAGTTACCAAGCTTATATGTTCTCTAGTGTCAGCATTTGTTGATGTCAGCAGCTTAATAATTTACAATGGAAATGGCAACTCACGGAAATTAAATATAAATTTGTTCTTGCTGATTAAGTACTTCAGCAGCAAGTTTAGTATTTTTAGTTCATAACTTTACAGCAGATTTGTAAACAGATTTTCTGTTGTTGAACAAATTTCAAAAACTATACTTGAGCACAGAGTTACACATTACCTTCTTCCAGACAGATTTAAGATTAAATAAAAAGTAATTTAATATTCAAACTTTAGGAAAGACCTTATCTGGCAATGATCATCAAAAAAGGTACATAAGTATGTTAACAGTGGCACTGGAAGACAAAGTTTTCATAGACCAAGCAACACAGAAAAAGACTAAGTTTAACACACACCCCCCACAGCCCTCACAATGGTCTTGAAATCTTTCTGTACCTCAGTTCCAAAGACCCTCCTACTCTCTGAATAATCTGAGAAAGATTGTTCAGGAAAAAAATGGTAGCAATAAGCACTCATTTAAAGATTTCTTAATAATATGCTGGCTAACAGAGCAGTATTATTGAATCCATTATTCCACCCAGGTACAAGACAAATCAAACTATAAGTAAAGCACAATATGGTAAGGACTGTAAACAAACAAACAAAAAAAAAAAAAAAAAAAACCAATCCAAAAAAAACCCCAAAAAATAAAGTTTTAATATCTCAGGACAACCGAGACAGCTGACCACATACTCCTAAAATGTTCATTTTCTTATCTAGGCTACTGTGAAGATGTGTTAAAACAGTACTCAAACTAGATTCTGGTCCTACCTGTGACCACATTTCTCCAGGTTGTCTGACTTTCCTGCCTTCAGTCACTTACACAACAATTCCAATCAGATTCCCTCCTACCTTGCCCCTTTTTTTGCCTGTCTCTCTCCTGCCTGAATGATGAGGCCCTCAGTGATATGGTTTAGTGGTGGTCTTGGCAGTCCTGGGGTAATGGTTGGACTTGATGATCTTAAAGGTCTTTTCCAACCTAGTTGATTCTATGATCCACCCCAGATTTCCTGTGCAAAGAGTTGTGAAAGTCCTCCAAAATGACCATGTTTATTTTTCCCCATCTAACACCCCTTTCTCCTCCCCTCCCCCCGAAAAAAAAGGTTCAGTCCAAGTTACATAGGAAACCTTTAGGTGAGTAAACGGAGAATATAGCTTTCAATACAATGTAAACACTATCAAAATACTTCTTGTTCATGCTGTAATAAGGAACAAATACAGTAACTAAGTGCTGAGAGGTTGCTAAGAAATATTTTTGGCCTGAAAGTGCAACATCTTATTATTTTCTAAACAATTTCTAACTCTAAATTCACTTGAGCAGATTTTTTTCAACTCTTTACACGTCCCTACTATTTTCAGCTATACCCATGCAGTAAACACTTACTTTTAAAAATAATTTCTTTTTTAAACACAGCAGAAAACATTGAGAGTAGTGTAAAGAGCAGAAATGGTAAAGGTAAGGGAAAGAACAGGGGAAGAAGACAGGAAGACGTAGGATAAAGCAGTATGATATATATGTGCTCTGCTAATGAGCATCGCTGGAGAGCAGGATACTGGTTTAACACAGGCCTTTGGTCTCATGCAGTTCAGGCATTCTTACATAAAGCACTAAGAAATCTGGCAAAGACCATACTTACATTTCACTGCATAGTCTAGTTAACTTCTTCCAGAGAAAAACTACCCACCCTTCCTTAAAGCTATTTGTTCCACGGTAACAAGTTAATAATGTGATTGCAAAACCATTCTAGATGAAAACAGATCTTATTTGAGCTCATCTGTAAGTGCACTGCCTGCCTCATTTCCTCTTCAAATTTCATGACAATCAAGGGCTTTCTCATTTGAAGGGACAGGTTAGCCCAAAACATTCTGAGATCACTCAGTCCCCTGTTAATGACATATGCACTGTCAAAAGAGATACATCAGTTTTTAGCCTGGAACTTTAAATCCTGCATCAATGAAGCAGCTTCCCATGTCAGCCTCTTCAGACTTTGCCAACTGCCTGTCACTAAAATCCCAAGGGTCACCCAAAAGGAGACCAGTGTTATCCTTAGTCATCTGTATTTATAAAGCATACAGCATTCATCTTCACTTGATGCAAAAGTATCTTTCTGGAAGCATATCTTACCAAAGCAAAAGCTTTTAAGTCACTACCACTTAAAATTTTCTTCAGTGAGAACTATGTGTCTTTTTTGAAGCTTAGAATTACTACCTAATCCCCTTTATTCCATAAGAGTAAAGGTCACTCTCAGTCAAGAAATCCTTTATTTCTCATTGAAAAGGCTAGTGATTAAAGATAAAAATTACTATTTGCAGTTATCCTTGGTACTTTTTTCACATCCATCAAGCAGCACCCATTTATACTCCCCCCTCCCAATTCCTTACCTTTTCAGCATCCTGCTCAAACAGCCTGAGCTGAAAACATTGGTCCAATTTCAATTTCCGTACATGCCACATCTGATGCAGATGCTGCCGTGTTGAGTGCAGCCTGTCCAGCATAGTGGATACTTTGGGTAAAAGGTTCTGTAAGTCTGCATTCCCTGACCCAGAGTTCTTTTTGGGAAAGCTATCACTGCTCTGTATCCGCTGGAGCAGCTTTTGTCCTTCCACATCAAGGTCCTCAATAGGGGCCTTAATGACTTTCTTTTTTAATTGTGAATGTTCCTCTATCATATTGCGAGCACCTTCCAGGTCCTGAGGCATTTCCTTTTTTGACAGTATATCTTGCAGTTCCTCCAGTCTGGACAGCATATGGGTTGCATTGCTAATATAGTCCTCAAAGGCAACTCTAATTTCTATCCACTCCTCATGGTTGTACTCCAAGCAGCCATCAAATTCTGGGGTTAGCTGAGAAGGATCAACTACTTTGGTAAGGCCTTCCAGAGACACCATATTTGTCTAAAAAATAAAAATGAAAATTATTTTAAAAAAATGCTGATACTGAAATGAATATAAAATTTTATTTCAAGTTTTTGTTTTTCTCTTTGTAAGAGTTGATCATTTTGCTCATGAAGTTCACTCAATAACTTCTATCATACACTTCTTTTCAAGTATTAATTCTGACCAGTCTCATGTCTTGCAGATATTTCCCCAAATATTTTCTTTCTCTCTTACATCACTACACTTAAGGAGAAAACAGCAATCACTCTTTTGACTTCTGTTTTTATGAAGTTTTAACTTTGTGTATTGTAAAGCAGCAGAAGGATAACAGCAAGGTTCAGTTGGCTGCTTTCCTCAGGATGCTGATATGATTATCATAGTGCAGACCAAGACAACAAACATGAAACCTCACTTTTTCCCATTAGGGGTAAAACTCTAATTCCATCTTTCTCACACTCAGAAAATGAATATAAATGACAACATGCACAACTACCTAGCCTAAGTACATGAAGAAAACCACATTCCCTCTAGCATCACTGGCCTAATGTATCCCTCCTCTCATCTAGAACATAGAATCATAGAATAGTTAGGGTTGGAAAGGACCTTAAGATCATCTAGTTCCAACCCCCCTGCCATGAGCAGGGACACCACACACTAAACATAAGTTATCTGAGAGTTTTGAAGGTGCTGATTAGTAGTGAGCAAACTTAAAACCATGAAATAAATGTAATTTTGTATACCATAGGGGAAATTACCTCAAACTCAAACTTAGAGCTGCCAAAGTTAGTCCTCTGTTTCTGCCAGAAATTGTCTGGCTTGATTATCAGTGCAACATGAATACAACATGGAAAGGATTCCTGTAAAATCTTCAGCAGAGGCTTTATGGAGTCCCATTTTGACCCACGCATATCTACAATGACGGTGAATCCTCGTTTACATACTTCCTCACTGCATAAGAAAGAAGAAAAGGTTATCAAGCAAGTGTTACAACTTCAAACACAGCACTCAACTGCACCACACTGCTTAATGAACGTGGTCTTCTCAGCTACACCCTAGGGTCTCACTGTTGACTAGCTGACCCATACAACAGAACTCAGGTACCTCTCAGGAAGCTTCTCACATCCCCCTGCCAAACTCCTTTGTAGGCAATAGCTTCACACCTGTTGCTGATTTGATAATCTGTCTTTTGTCTCCTTTTTCATTTTCATTGTTTATATCCACAATGATTCAACTTCCAGTCTTGTTTCTCCTTCACCTTACACATTAAACACAATTTACTGAAGCAGCAACATATAATTAATTTACAATTGACTCTTCAGAACACACACATTTTACTGATGACCAATATTCATGCCTTTCTAATGACTGAGGGGGATCCTCTAAAACACAGAAGATGGCATACTGTTCTTACCTACCACTTCTGCACCATTTTTTAAACTGCCTCCGATTTAGCCCATTACTATCCGAGAGTTAAAAGAGTCTGTGGAGGGGAAAAAAGCCTTTATTGACAATTCCTTCTGTAACAGCATCAATTTGTGGAAGGTTAATGGGTAAGAAAGCATTTTATGGCTGTGAAGAAAACGCATCAAGCTGTTTCTACGAATTTGAGCTCAATTTTGCTGCCCAAAAGTTGACAGACCTTATACCCAAATTCTCTGGCAACTCTTCTGAGAATGGCAGATTTAATTTCTTTTCATCAATACCGTTAGTACGCCTAGTGCTTGCCGCTGATCAAAAGTAGCAATCACCACCAACACCAGAAATTTTTGTTCTGTTCCAGTGGAATTTGCTACGTGACCTTGTTAAGATAGAAAGGAAAGTAGTTCAAAACCAATGCATCATAGCCAATGGACTATCAAAAAGGACTGAATGTCCATTGTTTGAGTACATGAGTCATTTTCAGGGATGTGACTAATATAAATGCAATTGTGGAGTTCATGTGGTGAGGTTTTCACAGTATCCAAAATGCAGGAAGCTTCACCGGCACACTTTATGCAATCTCATTGGCCACACTATAGAAACATGAGTTATGGTTGATACAGAAAAGCAGAAAAGCTTCCAAAAGAAGTAATAATACAGATTCCTTAGAAGAGGATTTCAAGTTTAAAAAACTAATATAAATGCAATTGTGGAGTTCATGTGGTGAGGTTTTCACAGTATCCAAAATGCAGGAAGCTTCACCGGCACACTTTATGCAATCTCATTGGCCACACTATAGAAACATGAGTTATGGTTGATACAGAAAAGCAGAAAAGCTTCCAAAAGAAGTAATAATACAGATTCCTTAGAAGAGGATTTCAAGTTTAAAAACTTAAAAAAAAACCCAAACAAACAAACAAAAAAAACCCCCAAACACTAAACAAAAAAACCCCAAAACAACAATAAAAAACCACCACCATTCTATTAAAAAAAAAAAAAAAAGTTTGTCAAGATAAATGTTGGCTGTCCCACCATGCCAGAAATGGCAATGGTAGTAAAAAATACACTGACTAGCTTGGAATACATTTAGACTACAATATACAATTTTCTCACCATAGTGAAAATGTTTTCTAACAGCCTCACAGAATTAAAGGCCAAAAACAACCACTGTTTTAAAGATACACCCATTACTGAAGGCTGCATGCTATTACACGAGTGCTTATCAGCCCATCCCTATCCTATCATGCAAACTGAGCACTGAGTGAGGAGGAGTGCTTGCCACTAATTCACATGATGCATACATCTACTGGGATATAGAAAGTGGACCGGCCCCTGATCATGTGGTACAACGTAGATGTGTCCTCCCATCATGTGGCCCCATCATCTGACAAAAGATGAATCCCTTTTGGCCAAGGATCACAAAAAGAGTTCTAGGAGGCTTTAGTCAGCCAAGGTCATCTGTTAGGTAAACCTGAACTACGCTAATACCTGGTCCACTCAACACTGATGACTTGAATTTAGCAATATTTTTAAATCAGATACATTGTTAAATTAGTAAAATTGTGAGACTGAAATCACCTTAAGTGTTCAGATCTCTTGCCAAACAACTCATACCTCTGAAACTGCAGCTACATACTGCAGTAACTATTAACCAAAATAACTAAAAGACTAAATGTTTGGGGCTATTTGTACAAGTTGGGCCTTCTTAATTAGCAAGATGTGCATGATCAGTCCCTAAAACTGTATGAAAATGTCTTGCTTTTAATAAAGCTCCCTTTATTCTAAAAGCTTTGCCATGCTTGCAGGAACATAAAGCCTGCACTAACTTTCTTTCCATTTTAAATGTATTGATGCTAAATTAACATACATCTTTTTGCCAGAGACCACAGTACTTTGCCAGATTATCTCTAGAAAATTCTCTTGGGCATATTTGTTATTTACATCTCAAACATTCAAATGTGAAGTCAAATTACTTCAGAAATAAAAAAATCTCAAGCCTAAGTACTAAACACTCCTACACTTCAAAGTGAAATAAAGAGTAGAATAATTTAGTTACTGACAATTGCTCTTATGGAAGGCTATACACACTATCAACAGGAAGTTATTTTAATGGAAACACTTTTGTCAATCTGAAACTGACCTCTGATTACATCGGGTGCAAAGGAGACTGCCTATAGATTAACACATTACAGAAATACGGAAGATACTGCATTCAGGGATGTTGCCCATGGAATTTTTTTAAATTATAGTGACAACTGCTCCTTGAGGTTTGCCTGAGTGTCCTTGAGGTCACAAGCAAACATAATTCAAGTACAGTCAGCATTGCTCCAGTTTACACCAAATGCAGGCAGATTCTAAAATGGACCTGAAGTAAGGGTTTTACAACCATTTTTCTCCCTCCTTCATTTACTACTAGGAACAAAGTTCTATGTGAACCTTTTTTACATATATATAGTACATAACTTTTTTTAAAAAAATATATGTAATTTTATATATATATGGGGGTGCATATGTACATATGCACTAGCACTGGATTTGACCTCTGCTGATTTCTTTAAACAGCACATTGTAATTCACAGCTTAAACTGTTGATAAGACAATGGTATCACTACTTTCAGTGATCTCTCCACAGGTTTATCTGAGACTTGTACAAACAACTTTACATGTCTCTATCCTGATTATTCTTGTGCTGTATCATGACACTGTAACTTACCTAATACAAAAAACAGCTAGGAATCTTGTGCTGACCTCACCCCATACAAGGCATATTGTGAATGATGACCAGTGTGTTTCTAATTATTGATGTACTTTGAGTTGTATCCGCAGTCTTCAGCACAGAAGACTGAACCAATTCAGTCTTCTAGCTTGTGGATGTACTGCAACATAATCCATTTGTTTTGTTTTATAGCTTCAGAGCTTATCGGACTATCACTTACCTAGGAATACATGCTAGGTATGAAATTAGTCTTCTAAGGTCTTCTTGCCGTATTCTATCATGGTTACTACGAGCTGGAAACGTCAGAATGGGACCTCCACGCTTATCTCTGCCACCTGAAAAATTGAACATGTTAAAAGACCCAACAGTATAACACCATTCTTGTTTGCAAATCTAGTCTTCAGAAAAACTAAGTCCTACACTGTATCGTTAATATCCACTTAAAGAAGTGGTATCAAGTTAAATACCAACACTATCACTTAGAGACCATCTTAAAATTGAATTTTGGGAGTATCAGTCAGCATATTGTCACAATTCCTACAATGAGGAAGTTATCTGTCTAACAAAAACCTAAAAAAAGAATACCACAGCATTACTCTTAGACATTGCAGTCACATTCAAGTTTGATTGGCTGTGTGATATCTCCAGCAATGGTGCTTTGTTATGTATTTAACTTTTGAATCAGCAATTGTACAGATTAAATTTAAACACAAAGTTACACTACTTTGTAGGCAAGCATTTAGAGGATACTCAGCACCCACCACAACTAATGCAGGAGCCCAGACAGAACTCTTGAGAACACACTCCCACTCGGGTGTCCGTCTGCAGGCTATGCCCTGCTCCAATGTCAGTACAGCAACAATGAGCACAACTCTGGGATATGCGCCCAGGTAGAGGAGCTCCTCTGCTTTGTGACAGAGCTCTGGGAGAAGGAGAGGAGGTTGAGGAGTGTCAGGGAGTCCAAGAGAGAGACTACTGGAATGGCACCCTACCATCCCTGGACAGACCCCACAGGCAGATAGGATGCATGATACTGATGATTCCCCATCCTCTCTCTGGCTGGCTGAACACAGTAACTGAAGGGATGGGGGGTGATGGTGACAAGTTCCTTCCCGGAGCAGCAGATGCACCTGTTCTGTGACTGCCCCACCTGCCCAGGTGCCCTTGCATGATAGGTATGTGCCTTTGCAGGTGGAACCAAACAGTAATGAGGACCATAAAGTAAAAAAGATGGGTCACAGTCATAGGAGACTCCCTCCTGAAGGGAACAGAAAGCCCCCTGTGCAGACCAGACCCACTTCCTAGGGAAGTGTGCTGCCTCCCGGGGGCTCAGGTTAAAGATGTAAGGAGAAAGCGTGCAGCCCTCAGATTATTACCCATTATTGATCTTCCAGTTGGGCAGTGATGAAGTTGTAACAAGAAGTCTGAGGGCAATCAAGACAGACTCAGGGCCTGGGGACAACTGGTTAAAGGAGTATAAGCAGTGTTCTCTTCTATCCTCCCAGTTACAGGGAATAATAAGGGAAGAAGCAGGAAGAGCCATCTGATTAATACCTGGCTGAGCTGGGTGTCACCAGCAGAATACGAGGAAAAATTTCATCACCAAAAGGGTTGTCAAGCATTGGAACAGGCTGCCCAGGGAAGTGGTGGAGTCACCATCCCTGGAGGTATTTAGAAGATGTATAGTTGTGGTGCCTAGGGACATGGTTTAGTGGTGGACTTGACCATGCTGCGTTAACAACTGGACTCAATGATCTTAAAGGTCTTTTCCAACCTAAACGATTCTATGATTAACTTCATTACTAGCACAGAGTTTAGGCATATAGTATTCCACACCCAGTGCATATACCAGATGAGTAGACAGATACTATTTGAGCGTTTAATTTATAATTTTTATACTGTTCTGATGTGCAGATACTGAATTGTCAGTTATAGTTTTTAATCTTGTCACCAATGCAGGAAATTCTGAATCACTTAATACATAAGGCAGAAAATGTGGCTTTGAGCAGTTCCACTTAAATGTATTCGTCTCATTCATTAAACTGCACAGAACTGTTTAACTGTACTACTGTTTAACTTGGTGCAGCTGAACAGTAAAATGCTATTTCATATCCAGTACCTTCTAGTGACCACAAAATGTTATTGTTACTAAATGCTAAATTCAAGTCAGTAAGCTGTCTTTATCAACACCTGTATTATATTCCCATACATGTTCTCAACCACAGATGTGTAACTGTTTTCTCCTGTTCCATGGAAACTCAGAAAAACAGTATCCTCTGTCCTGAATGATTTCTCATTGCAAATCAGCATTACTAAACAAAATATAACAAAACCAAACAAACAAACAATCCCCCCAAAAAACAAACACAAAACCAAACCAAAACAAAAACCCTTTGAAAGGAAGGCCAAAAGCAAATAAAACCAGGCACTCAAAAGTTCATCGCTATCTTCCCCAACACAGTCTGCGTGTGCTTGCTACAGACACTAAGCCTAGCTATGAAGGTCTCCAGAGATTTGTCTGCACTGGACACATTGCCCATGAGGCACCGAATGAAACTCAGAAGAGGCAAAAGCAGCTTTGAATTTCTATCAGGCTGCAATGCCAGAAACCTAAACTTAGAAAGGAAATTAATATTCTTCTTAACTTTCTTAAGAGAGTCATCTTCCATGATGAACTTAACTTCATCTTAAGAGGGACATCAGAATAAAAACAACTGAGTTGTCTCATTCTAAATGGAGAGAGACAAGTCTGATCTTGACCATCCTGTCCCAACTGCCAAGCAGAGAGCTTTGATTATTTTTAGATAACAAGTGACAGGATAAAAAGAAGACAGAAGCCACAAGAGAGAGGAAGGATAAATGACAGGACTGAGAGTCCAACAGTCCAGGCCTCTGCTCAGCTCCAGAGCAATCAACAGGCTCCAAAGCTACAAAGCTTAGCTGAAAGCTGCTGCAGCACTTTACACTGTCCTCAGCACGCTGCAGGTCATCAGCTAGAGATCTTTAAAGTTTACATTTTGACTGGTAAATGCTACTGTTTCCAAACCCCACCAGAAAAAAGTGCTTTACTGCTCAGGGTGGAAATTCTTTAAAAAATCCCCAGCTAGCAGGGAAGAACATGATATGAATTGTCATTAACACTAAGCATTTTAAACAAATGCATTGTTACATGTGGTCACCTCAGATCAGTCTCCAGGCCTTTTCCATACAGCAACTCCTGTATCATGCAGTTCTCAAACATGGCATGGGAAAGAAACCCATACTTTTTATGTCATTTTGGATCCCACTTCAGTTGGGACCCAGTTCCACATGCACCACAGACAAAACCCATTCTTAAAGTATGGTGCTTAAACTTCTGATAAATCACATTCTGAAATTTCTGTACATTGGAGACTACATCTGTTGCACAAATTTCAGGTCTAGATGAGTAATGAAATCAACACAGCCTTGATTGTTGGTGAGAAGAATTTCACTCTCCGGTCTTAAACCAGACACCAGAATTGTAAATATTGAGTAAAAAAGTCCTTAAGACCTCTGTTACGTTTTTTTGGTTGGTTTGTTGTTTTTTTTTTTTTTTTACCACCATCAGCTATGCCAAATGCTTTTTTAGGTCTTTTTCAATAAATAACTCTCATTTCCTTTGTTCCTGATGCTCCTGTGTCATACACAAACAGGAATGTTAAAAGCAACAATGCATGAGGCATCAGGTGGGAATTTCCTGTCCCACAATACTTTATCCAACACAATCCCCTATTTGTCTTGGTTTAACAAAAACATATGAAGCTACTACTTTCATTAGTAAGAGTTCCATTTTTACTCCTTTCTTTTTCTGTAACCCCCCAGAGCACTGAGATAGAATCTCTATTTATGCCAAGATGTGTCATATGTATAGCTGATCAACTCACATGAATCATCCAACATGAATCACTTCTGTCTAGTGCACATCCCTAACACCAGTCCTGTCAATGGTCTTCAAATGGCACCAAAATCCACCAGGCCAAGTAGTGCAGTTTTTTCAGCAACTGCCTTAATTTACCTAGTTACAAAGGGCTTATGTAAAGCTAAATGGTGGGATGTTTGAAAAGCAAGACAACTTTTCAAGTGGTATTTCCTTATATGAAACCAAGATAATTGCAGCTTGCAAGAAAATGCTCTCCTCATATAAGTACGTGTAGAGATGTCAGAGTATCTGTACTTCAACAGACTTCAGTTTTAACTTAATAAAAAAATTGCATCCAAGATTCCATTCATACTTCATGGTTATATGAAGGCAAGCCTTCATCAGCACTACAATTCATAAGCCGAAGAATTGGGAGTTCCTACACCACCAGGGAAATTTGCTCTAGGCAGTTGTTACATCATTCATTACAGTTGCCAGAACCTTTAAAAAACAAAACAAAACATCTTTTTTTGCTTATCACCTCTATTTGACTCAGCAGAGTGCACAGGATGAAGTGCCGTGAACTATATACTATACTTGCAAGCATCAGCATCCATGCACAGCAAATCTCTAAGGAGTGCAATTTCAGGGATCATTTTGTATGTTTTAATATTTACTGATAAGAGCTTTATTTTTGGAGTTCTTGAAAAATTATTTATCAAAAAAACCCTTTCAAGTATGAGCCTGTCCTCTAAATCATTTGACACTAATATTATGGCAAGGAGAATTATGTTTAATCCCAATATATTTCAAAGTATTTACTTCAGAAAGTCACAACAAAATGCAGTTCACAAGAATAAGCACCTCAGTCATCATTCCATCAAGTAAAGTAACTTAGCAAGTTATAAAATATGTTACTATAGTCATTCATCTAAATCCCATTTTTAAATCCTCTGCTATTCCTCATCAAGTAACCAACTTCAAGGTATATGCTGGAGGTAGCTAAAACTAGATGGTAACTCATTTCACTATGAAGATAGCAAATACGGTTTAGAAGATATGCACTGAAATTTGACCTCTGCAACAGAGATATTTCTCCAGTGCTTCAGATAGGCCAGTAACAAAGCCATCTCTGTAAAGCAGAAATAAGAGAAGGAATATGACTATGGTATGGCAGGTTGTTCTAAACAATGTTGTTGGATATGCATGGGGGACAGGACATGACCAGGATGACAACAAGCAGCACGTTCCACATTCAACAAAATACGTATTTTCTATATTACACATCCTTTCACAGTGCTCATGTTATGTTTGGGATATTCAACTGGAATAGGTGCTACCCTAGACGTCCATGACACTTGTAACGATATTTAAAAGTACTTAAAATGCCATTTTACATGTGACTAGCAACAGTCATGCATTCCACAACAGAAGAAAATAACTCTACCTGAAAGGTATGCGACTTTTTCCTTTAGAATTGGCAATACTTCCATAGCCTTCATTTCATCATTTTTGCGAAACCCTGAAAAAAGGAAAAGACAAGATAATTAGTCAAAAATTCAGACAAGCCCAGCTTCTACATTTACTGAATACACTGTAAAATATTTACCTTTGGAATACAATCTGAATGTTATGATTACATGAATTAAGATAACTCGTACAGTAAAAGGTTGAAAAAAATTAAACTAAACTTTTAAAACATATTAATGAACAAGTCATCGCTTTGACTAGCTTAACACAAATAGCGTGGTCTGTTGGACAACCTTAGTAGAAAACAGGATACTGGAATTAGCCTTTTCAATCAGTAAATAAAAACTATCAGCTGGATGCTGTTGCTTTTAGGCATTCCAAATTCCACTTTCACTTTATGTTCCAGCAGAGACTAGCAGTATCAAGCTAATAAAAGTAGGTACCTTTAGAACAATTACCAGTCAAAAAAACCCAACCCAAAACCCAACAAAACAAACACAACCAAAACCCCCTCAAATTTCCAGACCTCCCCAAGAAAGCACTACACAAAAAGACCCACCAAAAAACCCCAACAACATTTACATGCAACTTCCCTCACGTCACTTTTGTAAGCAAAATTGGGAGATAAAGCTCTCAACTGTGTCTTCTCTGCAGCCTGACTGGAGCAGCATTTTGTAACAGAGAGCACATTTTCTCATGTCAACTGTATACACCCATGGAGTCTGAAAGTGTCCCCAAGGTGAGTGATTACAGTCAGTGTTGGCAAAGCAGCACACCACCAGCTTGCCCCTCCTCTCTACTTCCATTACATTTCTGTGGCCAGATTCTAAACTTCTGCCTTCCTCAATAAGGGAGATTTAGGGAGCATTTTATATTCCTTACATTCCATATTGACCTGTACAATACAGAATCAGTCCCTCTTGGGCCCATCTTGTTCATATTGCAAAAATTGGGTGGTTTTGTACCCACACTTCAACTAATTCTATTATCGTTCCCACTCTCTTCGGATTCATGTGGGGTTTTTTTAAAATCTCATTTCTGAACACAGTACTTCTGTAACACAGGTAAGAGGGAAGTGCTTACTTCCCCATGACTGCTGAAGCCCAGAAGTACTTGCTGTGAAGTAAGACAGCTCAAATACCTTGCTACAAAACAGTAATTGTGTTCCTTAAAAGCAAACAGTTTGAGCTATTTAGAAAATAAGCTTCTTAAGAATTTATAATTTCAGCAAAATCTTGCAAGACTGAGCTCTGTGTATATGTGGTAGTGTTGTCTGAAATATATTGCTCCTCCTCTGTACCTCTAGAGATGGCAGCAGAAGTTGTCACTGATGTCCAGCAGTGGAGGCCATCATTTTTCTTCCTCCTCAAAAATACCCAAACGTTTCATACCCTTTTGTCTCAGGCTCTGAGCTTTAAGAAAAGAGCTGTGCACTTCATAGCTAAAACCTCAAGGTGTCATCAAGTAATATAAGCAAGATTTATACATTTAAATTACATCACAGGTTTTCTATTCCAGCCAGTAATACTGAGACTTCTGTGCCACTACAATATCTACTTACGGGCACTACCCTTCAAAACAGAGCACTCAAGAGACAAAGATGGCCAGGTGTTCACATGTCATGAGCTATGAGGAAGGACTAAACCAAATGACACTGCTTAGTCTAAAGAACTGAGGGGAGACATAGTAGAAACCCTCAAAACACAAAGTCTACTGGTGGCAAAAGTAAGCTGGCTAGAACTTTTGTAAAGGAGAGAACTGTGAAGCAGCACAGGGGATTGCCTGTGGAAGACTATGAATTATCCATGACTAGGGATTTTTAAAAATGCATTTAAACAAATATCTGTCAGCAATACGTGCCTCCAGTTCACTGTAACTGAAGTGTTTGACCAGGACATTGTCTCAGCACACACAGACAGCAAACAAAAGAAAACAACAAATCATCTTCCAGGCACTGATCAATTCACTGCTTTTCCATGAGCACCATAAAGCAAAAACAAACACAAAATGTGATACATTTTCTCAGAAGGGTTGACCGGGAAAACTGGTTCCTTGGATAAGCATGCTGCAGGGAGTGTTTCTACGCAATGTACACTATTTTGCAATTATGCAGCAACTCCAGACCAACAAAACAGTGGAGGTACACAGCTATTTCTTAGACAGGAATCTAAGACAGCTCCCAAAGGAATGCCTTGTATTATTCCTTCCTTTGGAGTACTGGCTATAGGTTATCAACCTATTACTTAAACTGCCTACAGTTTTGTTCCTACTAGGTTTTCATTTAGTATGGACTAAAGCTTAAACAAGACTTTAACAAAAAACCTTGGGCTTAAAGAACTCACCTCAAAAGACAGCAAATACCTTTTTCCACTTCGAAATACTTGGGCTTCAGTTGTCTGCATATAGGCACATTTCTAGAGTAAAACTTTTTTTAATGTGCTTTGAGCCACCCTAAGCTTAATGCCAATTTAGCATGCTCAGCTTTCATATCAACCATGGCAACTCCTTTTCTTTACAGTAAATTCAGAGGTAGAAACCACTTTCTCCTCACCTAAAAAGCATGCAGAAACTAGTGCTGTTCTTTACTATCTTAGCACAAAATTATCGAAGACACTGGTGTTACCACAACTTGCTTGCTCAGATTTCTAAGCCTTTAAACTATTTCACCTCAGATGATGCACAGTAGCTGCACATTTTACTTTGCCTGTGGCATATAAGAAGTGAGAAATATTTAGCCAACATTTCTTTGACTATTAAGGGGCTGCTCAAGGTAAACACCCCAGCAAATACGTTAGGGCTTGGCTCATGTTCTGGATCTGCATATTCTTAAGGCTGACTGCCTCAGATTATCATATTCCTGCTGCTCTAAACAGCCTATTTTCATCCCAGTTCTGCAGTGTTAAAGCTTAACTGAAAAGACTGTGGGGATTACAATTGATGAAAGAATGCTGGGGAGCAAAGAAGATGAATACAGCAAGAAACTATCGTATTTTTTCTCTCCAACAGAGCAATAATAACACAAAAAGCAGCAATAAAGCAGGTTTTAGGGGCTTGGGGTGGGTCCTCCCCTCCCTTTTTAAAGCCTTTACAGCACAGAACATTTGCTACTATGAGGATTTCATTTTAAAATAAATTAAAAGGCATTTGCCGCACTCAAATGAAATGCCATAAATATCTGCACCAATCTCTCCCTACACAGCTCGCAACCTCCGCGCCAGCCGGCTGCATCACATGTTCCTGAGGATGATGTCATCCTTTCCCGGCCGGCCGGCTGCAGCTCCTGCGCCGCGGTGCTGCGG